TTTTAAATAGAAATATCACCATAAATAAGATACACTTTCAAGGGAAGGGGAAAAAACTTTAAAATTGAAGCTACAACCTCCTAATTCAGAAAGTTCCTGGTCACTGGCTTATTCAGAAACTGTCAAAATACTACCTTATATTTCAAAAGAAGGTTTGTTTCTATTGTGGAGAAGTGGAAGGTTGGTTTTTTTTTTTTTTAAGTAATGAGTACTAAAAAATGCACGAGTCACTGTAGTTGAAAATCTTTTTTTTAAAGACTGAAATAATTAAAACGGTATGGATAGTCTGCTCTGCAAGCTTATATTTTTTATTCATTCTGAAGTGCAATAATTATTTCTGAAAATTGTGTGCTCATTCTGAAGTGTAATAATTATTTCTGAAAAATGGTTGTCAATACAAGCAATGAGGGGGTAACCAACCATGAAAGCAATTAATTAAAAGAGCTCCCACTTCATTGCATGTTTTCTACAGTGAAATATTTTTAGGAAATGGCTCACATTATAGTCTCAGATGCACTATTAGTAAAATCTTAATTTTAAAAAATTACAGCCCAGCAGGTGTAGCTCAGTGGTTGAGTGTTGACCCAGGAACTAAGATATCGCAGTTTGGTTCCCAATCAGGTTGCATGGCATGCCAGGGTTGTGGGCTTGATCCCAGGAGGGGGCATGCAGGAGGCAGCCAATAGATGATACACTTTCCCATCCTCCCTCTCCCTTCCTCTCCCTCTAAAAGAAAATCAATAACAACATATTTTTAAAAATTACAACCACATACAATTTCCCTAAGAAGCTGACCTGACTGTAGTGCTCCACCCCCAGCCATGAAAGCTAGTTTTCTAAGGCTGTGTCTTAATGTGGAGAAACACTAAAGCAAAAGTAAGGTGGGAAGGAAGAAATTACAAGTAAACATACACATGTCATATCTCTTCCATAACATTTTATATTCATAAAATTTAAGCATAAAGACAACACATGGAGTAAATAAATTATTAATAATATTTTTATTGTGGCAAAAAGCACATAACATGAGATTTAGCCTCTTAACAAACTTTTAAGTTTGCAGAACAGTGTTGTTGACTATAGACATAATGGTGTACAGCAGATCTCCAGAATTTTTTCATCTTGTAAACCTGAAACTCTGTACCCATTGAACAGCTTCTTCCCACCACCCCACTCTCCGACCCCTGGAAACCACCATTCTACTTTCTGTCTCTATGAATTTGACTGCTCTAAGTACCTCATCGCAGTGGAATCATATAGTGTCTGTCCTTTTGTGACTGGCTTATTTAACTTAGTATCATGTCCTTAAAGCTCATCCATGTTGTAACATTATGTCAGAGTTCCCCTCCTTTTTAAGGATGAACTAGAGGCCCGGTGTCCCTCGCCCAGCCTGAACCCTCTCCAATCTGGGACTCCTCGGGGGATGTCCTAAACCGGCAGTGAGCCATCCCTCTTACAATCCGGGACTGCTGGCTCATAACCACTCACCTGCCTGCCTGCCTGATTGCCCCTAACCGCTTCTGCCTGCCAGCCTGATCACCCCCTAAGCGCTCCCCTGCTGGCCTAATTAACACCTAACTGCTCTCCTGCCAGCCCAATCGCCCCCAGCTGCTTTCCCCTGCAAGCCTGGTCCCCCATAACAGCCCTCCCCTGTCAGCCTGATGGCCCCCAACTGCCCTCCCCTGCAGGCCTGATCTCCCCACAACTGCCCTCCTCTGCTGGCCACTTTGGTTCTGATTGGTTGGTTCTATGCCAGTCACGTCAAAAACTTCGCCTTTTAGGCAGCCATTGGCTCCTCACAGTTGACCCAGATTTGGTTCTGATTGGTCAATTTCCATGCCAGTCAGCATCTCTGGGCCTATCAACGAGGCCTGATCAGAAAGATGGGACTGATCAGCAGCCCCTGTGGAGGCCTGGAGAGAAATGGAGGCTGGCTGCTGGAGAGAAAGAGAGAGACAAGTGCTGATCAACAGCTGCCACAGAAACTACGGATCAGACCCTGCTTCTCTCTTCAGTCCTCTCTTCAGGCCTGATTCACAGCCCCCTCAGCAGTCAGTGCTGGGTCACCATGCTTGCAGCCGCAGCAGTCAGTGCTGGGTAGCCACGGCAACCCAGCACTGACTGTAGGACTGAATTTCGGTTGGTCAAGCCTCCAGTTGGTCAAGCCTCCGGTTGGTCAAGCCTCTGGTTCTGATGGACTCAGGGTTTTTATATATTAGGATAATATTCCATTATCTATATATGCCACATTTTGTTTATCCATTTATTCTTCAATGGACATTTAGGTTGTTCACAACCTGCTGTTGTGAGCAATTCTGCAATCAACATGGGAGTGCAAATATCACCTCCAAATCCTGATTTTAAGTCTTCTGGATAAATACTGAGAAATGGGATTGCTGGATCATATGGTCATTCTATCTTTAATTTACTAATGATGTTTTATGCATATTAAATCTGCAATGATGGTTTTCCTACTATTAAATTCTGTCTATCATGCTCTAATAAAAACCTTTCACAATCTCCCTTCTGATTTCAGTAAAATGCTTGTTTTCTTTATAACAGACTAGAGGCCTGGTGCACAAAAATTCGTGCACTTGGGAGGTCCCTCAGCCTGGCCTGTGCCCTCTCGCAGTTCAGGAGCCCTTGAGGGATGTCCACCTGTCGGCTTAGGTTTGCTCCCGGGGGGGTTGGCCTAAGCCGTTAGTCAGACATCCTTAGCGCTGCCGAGGAGGCAAGAGAGGCTAGCTGAGCAGTGCTCCCCCTGTGGAAGCGCACTCACCACCAGGGGGCAGCTCCTGCATTGAGTGTCTGCCCCCTGGTGGTCAGTGCGCATCATAGCAACTGGTTGTTCTACCCTTAGGGTCAATTTGCATATTACCCTTTTATTATATGGGACTAGTGGCCCAGTGCACGAAATTCATGCACTGGGGAGGGTATGTTCCTCAGCCTGGCCTGCACCCTCTCCAATTTGGGACCCCTCAAAGGATGTCCTACTGACAGTTTACAGGGATCGGGCCTAAACCGGCAGTCAGACATCCCTCTCGCAATCCAGGACTGCTGGCTCCTAACCACTCACCTGCCTGCCTGCCTGCTTGCCTCTAACCATTCTGCCTGCCGGTCTGCTTGCTCCCAACTGACCCCCCCCCC